TTACAAATCCCAAAGAAGCTTTTATTAGAGATTTAGGGATTTAATCTTTGACATTCAAAATTAGCTTTTCATTGTCAGTCAGAATACCAAAGAATCTTAAAAACTGCAGGGAATGGTGAGAGAGTCACTTAGAAATTCCTAGTGGAAGTCTAAATTGATAATCTTTCTAGAAAGCAATGTGGCAAAATGTGCAGACGTGTAGCATGTTACTTTTCATCCTTCTTCCTGCTAATGCTCCGATCCTAAGCCCTATCATCTATCGCCAGAAGTTTGCAGTCACTTTCTAATTGGGTCTTTATGCTTCTACCCTTGTTCTCAAGTGTGTTTTCAACCCAGCAGTCAGAGTGACCTTTTTCAAACATACCTCAGATCATGTTACTCTCTGGCTCAAAACCTTGTTATGGCCTGTAACTTTTACTCAAGAGTAACATTCAGAGCCCTTATACTATCCTGTAGGGCCCAACATGAACTGACCAGCCATTTATTCCTCTGCATTTCTCTACTATTACTGCCCTTGTTTGCTCCTCTCTGGCACACTGGCTTCTTTATTGTTCCCTTGACCATGTGCACTATCTGGTATACTAATTTAGGACTTTTGCACTGTTTTTTTAGTCTAAATGCTTTTCCTTTAGCTGCCTGCTTGTTAACTCTCTTACTAGCTGACTATATATCTTACTACAAGTATTTTGCCCAAATCATACCTTCTCCATGTATCTTCCCCTGATCACCCTATTTAGTATGACTTGGCTTGGTTTTCCTGCCCGCGATCCTCTGGAACTTCTGATGAGGCTGAATACAAATTTCTCTTTTTTGTAATACTTAAGGTATTGTTGATACTTAAAATTTACTGTCTGCTCCTTTGACTGTCTTAGAGTCTAAGTCCCACAGGGCAGGGATTTTTTTTTTTTTCCCTCCACAGGTAGTTCTCAGAAAAATGCCTTAGTAGGTACTCAAATATTTGTCAAATGGCTGAACTTTAAAAGTAATACCATCTTTGATCTAGAAATCTCACTTCTAGAACTCTTCCTTTAATAAATATTGAGAGCTTCTGGAGCTTTTAAGGGCAGGGGTGGGAAGCAGCTGAGGTGCTCCCATTTTCCTCTCAAGAACCCAGCCCTAAACAAACAGAAGAATCCAGCCCCAAGGTCAAGGTGCAGCTGGCCCTCATTGTGTCTGTGGCTTTGTCCTCACCAAGGCAGGTGTTGAAGCTCTATGTAATGATCAAGCAACTACACAGAAGTGGCCCTTCATCAGCTACGTTACCCATGGCTGTCACTATGGTTTATGGGGCAGCCCATGAATGCCGCCAGGGCCTCACCCATGGCTGCTCCCTCATGAGAGCTCCCCAGTACTCTCCCAGAGGAGCTACTGTAGTTACAGCATCATTGACGGGCACAGCCAGGGTGGTCTCAGGAGCCGATCCACAAGTATGACCAGAAGCTAGCCTTGTGTCCACTGCAGCACCTGGGCGTGTACAACCTTTGGAACTTTATTCTCAGAAGCAAGACATGCAGAGCATCCACACCTCCCTGCCACATAGTAAAGGCACTGAATTACCTGTCCCTGGACTCCTGATGGCCTCACCTGCCATGGCAGCCCAATGATGTGTCACCTAGCACAAGGCAGAGAGGGAGCAGTCAGGGACTTAGCAGCCAAGGAACAACCTCAGCACTGTTGAGACTGCCCACCAGGCATGCCCACATCCCATAATTGCTGCATTATCTCCTCAATTCTTAGTCTGTGAGCTGCTTGAAGACAGAGACTTTGCCTCATTCATTCATTTGTTCTTTCAGTCATTCAGCCCTTCACCAACCTTAAGTTGAGCACCTTGCTATGTGCCATGCATTCTGTCAGGCACTGGGAAGCTTGTGTTGGCGATTGATTGGAACTGAAGTATACAGCATGGATGAATGTCTACTTCTGCCTATGTATAAAGTACAGAGTTTATTATAGGAAGGTAACTTTATTTGACTTTGGTGAAGCTGTCTGGAGAGTGTAGCCTGTAGTTAGCAGGGCAAGCAGTAGTACAAAGTGGAAAGCAGGGTCCAATTAGAACTCCTGAGGGTAGACTCCCTTCAGCTTCTCACCACCTCTAAGCCTCCAACTTTAATGATGGGTGTCTTCCAGAAGAGCCAGTGCCCTTCATCATGGAACGAAACATGCACCTGGCCCCAAAGTAAAAAGACTTGGGAAGAAGACCTTCCAGTAGAAACTGGGAGCTGCTGGGGGTCCAGCCACTTCTCCATACCAACAAGGTTAACCAGTAGATCGGGACAATGTACATTAGCGGCAACAGATTTTTCTGATTAGAAAACATGACTGCAACGTTATTTTCAAATCTCATGCATAATAGCTAAGACTCATATTAACGCAAGACTTTGTAGGTATAGGAATTTTAGGAAACATGGTTTCAGCTTAGCCAAGTTTACACAATATAAATTCACAACAGTCTGCCTCCTGTTGACCGTGGCATTCATGTGCACCATACATACTAACTTCTAAATAATGACAATGATGAAAAGAATCCACAAGAGAGGGAGCCAACAGTTTAGACTCTTCTCATAGCTTTCATCATAATGAAACAACCTAAATGCGACCGTACGCACAAGAGAACCAGATACTGCCTGGTCCTGTACCATCCTCACAAATGTCGCGATGCGTGAGCCCATCGTTGGTAGCCACTGTGTCAGTCCTTCTCTGTGAGCGCCTTCCTCTTTTTTGCTGCTCCTCTGCTGTACTCCTCTGCAGGGACTGGTCTCTCCTGATAACATGTCCAAAGTACTATGTAAGATAAAATCTCGCCATCCTTGCCTCAAAGGAGTACTCTGGTTGTATTTCTTCCAAGACAGATTGAAGTCTAGGGTACCTTCAATATTTTCTGGCACTACAATTTTTTTTAATTAAATCATTTTATTGGGGTCTCGTACAACTCTTACCACAATTCATACATCCATCCATTGTGTCAACACATTTGTACATTTGTTGCCATCATTATTCTCAAAACATTTGCTTTCTACTTGAGCCCTTGGTATCAGCTCTTTTTCCCCCTCCCTCCCTTTTCACCCCCCCCTCATGAACCCTTGATAATTTATAAATTATTATTTTGTCATGTCTTACACTGTCCAGCATCTCCCTTCCCCCACTTTTCTTTTGTCCATCCCCCAGGGAGGAGGTTATATGTAGATACTGTAATCAGTTCCCCCTTTCTACTCCTTCTCCTCTCCATCCTCCTGGTATCACCACTCTCACCACTGGTCCTGGGGAGTTTATCTGTCCTGGATTCCCTGTGTTTCTAGTTCCTATCTGTATTGCACACAATTTAAATGCATTGATTCATCTTTGCTCTTCCTTATTCATTGTACAACTTTCTGATGTATATGAGGTCATTGAAAATACCATAGCTTGGATCAGGTGCACCTTAGTCCTCAAAGTAGCATCCTTGCTTTTCAATTTTCTAAAGAGGTGAAGTCTTGTGCACAGATTTACCCAATGCAACACTTCTTTTGACTGCTGCTTCCATGAGCATTGGCCTGGGACTGGCTCGTGTAGTTTTTCTAGAGCTGATTATGAGCTACTCTTCCCAATTACTCATTCAGTGATATTGGTAGCTTGAGATAGGCATTCCTGGGAATAATTACACTGCAGAAATGGCCTATTCATATGTCCTAAGCTGGGCTCTCTAGAGAAGCAAAACCAGTGACATTGATATAGATATAGAAATTATATCAAGAAAATGGCCACACAGTTTTGGAAGTGGGCGAGTCCGAGTTATGGGGTTGAGTGTTAAGCTATAGGCTTCTCCTGACTCACAGAGCTCCAGGGGCTTATGAACCCAACATTGGCAGGAACACTACAGATTAGTGGCTGCAGAGGCAGATGAATTCAAGGTTGGCAGGTCGAAGGCAAGTTGCTGATGGATCCCAGGTTCTAAAGGCCATGTGGCAGGCTGTTGACTTAAGTCCAAATACCAGAATTTGAACCAGATGCAAGATCCAGAACCCAGCAAAAAGCAACCAGAATTTGAACCAGATGCAAGATCCAGAACCCAGCAAAAAG